CCCCAAAGATGGTCAACGCCCCCCACGTCAGCAGGAAGCAGTCTTAAGAATTCGACGCCCTTATTCCTTAACCTGCCATGTCTAAACACCCCACCTTTTTTTAATAATAAGTAGAGGTGGAAATGAAAGGTTCAGGCATTATGCTGGCCTGCCCGTTACCCGGTGGAATCCACTCAGGCAGAACCCTGGTCAGCCCAAGGTTCCATGGGAACTAAGTCTGCACGCAGGTGCAGAGGACCCCTTTAAAAGATAGGCCCCTGCCCATTACGCTCTCTGTTTCTCTGTCCCGCTCTGTTCCTCTGTCCCGTTCTCTGTCCCACTCTCTGTGCTACTCTGTCCCCCACCTATGCTCTCGCTCTGTCTCTCTATGGTGACCGGCCATGGCGGTCAGCCATTTACCCTGTTCCTCTTCTTAGACTCCCCATTCTGCCAGGCCTTATAATAAACTTATAGTCTTATCAGTATTTCTCTTTTCTTCTTTTTAAACAAAACAATAACACCAAGCAAAATTAAAAAAAAAATTAACAATTTTTTTCTTTCTTTTGAGGAGGGTCACATATGCTCCAGACGGACCTTGAATTTGCTACATAGAATCACCTTGAATTCCCTGTCCTTCCATGTGTTTCTCTAAGTGCTAGGATCACAGGCTGCACTAACACATTTCACTAAAATAACACCTTTTCTATATCATTCGTTCCCATGCTATAGAATCTTTACTGCTAATCTGAGGGGAAAATGTTGCTTTTGGAAAAGATTTTGGAGGACATACTTGTTAATTTTTAATCTCCCAGAGCACACTCAGAAATTAGACTCTTGATGCTTGAGGCTCACAATTAACATCAATTGTTACATTCCTCTGACTTCACCGTGTAAGGGGGTAAGGGGACTGGCTGCTGAGCATTCTGCTGCTTGCTTCTTTGCATTCTACTTACTTCTGGTCCATGTCTTAATTTGTGGTTCCTCAGAACAGGATTCATTTTATCTATCAGGTGTTCATTAAGGATTTATGTGCATGGGACCATATAATCAAAAGTAGAGTTGTTAAGTACACAAACACAGAGGTATCATGGCCTTGCTATCCATAGACATGCTCACATATGATATTTCCCTGCTTTGAGAGAAATAAGTGTGTGATGCTAATGTGGATGAGAAGAAATGCCTCATTTCAAGGCATGCTGACTTGGGAAGAGGTCATGGTTCTCTTGCCTACATCAAATTCCTCCTCCAGCTTACAGCCCATCTCACCTCTCCTCCATTCAATCAATCCATACACCAAGTATTATATTCTCCTCTAAGCATTTTCTGGATTTACAGAAATCTGATGTACTCACTTGTCTTACTATGAATTCCCTCAACATTTCCTATTATTGGTCATTATTGTTATTATATTTATTTATTAATAATCTTCAGCCAGGTGGGACAGATCAGCACTCAATAGGCAAGTGGATTTCTGAGTTTGAGGCCAGCCTGGTCTACAGAGTGAGTTTCAGGACAGCCAGAAGTGTTACATAGAGAAAGCCTGTCTTTTTTTTTTTTTTTTTTTTTTTTTTTTTGGTTTTTCGAGACAGGGTTTCTCTGTGTAGCTTTGAAGCCTATCCTGGCACTCGCTCTGGAGACCATGCTGGCATTGAACTCACAGAGATCCACCTGCCTCTGCCTCCCGAGTGCTGGGATTAAAGGTGTGCACCACCAAAGCCCGAGAAAGCCTGTCTTGAAAAAAACGAAAAAAGAAAAAAAAAAAATTACCCTCCAGTACCACACAACAGGATATTACAAATAACAATAATAGTAGAAGGTAGATAATGACAGTGTGCTCATGGTAAGATGCTGGTAGGTACTGTTTTGAGTGCTTTACATGTTTAAGTTTGCTTAATCCCCACAACTATTTGAGGGAGATTATCTATTGTTTTGATGTGAAATTAAGTTAATAATCTGAAGATCCGAGGTGTGGCGGGTGCTTGATCATGCACATACAAAGTCAGACTGAAATGAGTGTTTACACAACAAAGATTCACAGAAAGAGCCCCCAAGACTTGAGGACAGGGTCTACTTAGCCCAACCAGCTTGTCATGTTGCTTTTTCATAGCCAACACTCAGTCCCAGCATCTTCACACTGAAAGAGAAATTTTCACCACTCACCTGTCTTATAAAGAAGTCCCCATGAATCAGGGAAACAATTCCAAAGTTTGTATACTTGAAAATATGATCCATCAGCCACATCATCTGAGCCACAACCTGAAATATTAAATGCAAGATGTAGTTAATTCAGTGCTGGTGATAACAAACTTGTAGAATCCAGCCAAGTCTCTCCGGGCGTTGGTGGCGCACACCTTTAATCCCAGCACTTGGGAGGCCAGCCTGATCTACAGAGTGAGTTCCAGGACAGGCTCCAAAGCAATACAGAGAAACCCTGTTTTGAAATCTTCCCCCCAAAAAGAATCTAGCCAAGTCTCCATATTTTCAATATGATCATCCAAGCATATTTTTAATTACTGACTAAATATAGTTTTTAATTTCTTATAAATTTTGCAATTACATCATTTTTATCCCCCAACTCCTCCTTACTCCCTCTCAATTTCATGACTTCTCCTCTAGTTATTATTACAAATATATGTAAATGAGTTCTTAATTGATGTAAGTAATACAAACCCAGAGTCAGATACAGAGGAAAATGCTGAGAGATCAGAGCAAAAGAGCAAACCACAGCCATACCTTAGCCTCCTTAGCATCTCCTCAGGCAGGAGAGTGAGCTCCTGTTTCTCCCTGCTTATATCCTAGTTCTGCCCAGCCACCTCACTTTCTGTCTGTCTGTACAGACCTCAGACCTCTATCTATGGTTAGCTAGTGGCAAGCTCCATTCTCCAACCCTCAGAAAGGCCTTATTTGTACAAGCAAGCTATCACCACATTGGAATGTAAAAATTAGTTAAAAAATAAAAAAATAAAAAAGATATCACCACATACATTTAGTGTTGTAAATATTTTAAATCTAATGATATTTCTACAAATTCACCACAGTTACCAATACAGTTTACATGAAAAATTATAGGTCTCGGGCTGGAGAGATGGCTTAGAGGTTAAGAGCACTGGCTGCTCTTCCAGAGGTCCTGAGTTCAATTCCCAGCAAATACATGGTGGCTCACGGCCATCTATAATGGGATCTGGTGCTCTCTTTTGGTCTGCAGGCATACATGCAGGCAGAATACTATACATTATAAATAAATAAATCTTTAAAAAAATTATTGGTCTTGATTACTAGTGATAGAACACTAAGTCATAAGTTTACATAAAAAAATGAAACTAAAGTTAGGTGGTGGTGGTATATGCTTTTAATAAGAGCACTCAGGAGAGGCAGAGGCAGGAGGACCTCTAAGTTCCAGGCCTGCCTGTTTCCAGGACGGCCAGGGCTACACAGAGAAACCCTGTCTTGAAAAACAAAAGACAATAAAGGTCCAAAGAAAATATTATATCTCCTGCCTTAATTTTTCATCACCTTTACTAGATTGACTTGCTTTAAAAAGTAAAAGTGCATACTTATAAAAGAATAGGACTGAGGAGATGGCTCATTTGGTAAAATGTCTGCCATTTGTGGTGGTCTGAGTTAGAACAGCCCCCACAGGCTCATATATTTGAATGCTTAGTCACCAGAAAGTGGCACTATTTGAAAGGATTAGAAGGATTAAGAGGTGTGGCCTTATCAGAGGGAGTGTGACACTGGGGGTGGCTTCTGAAGTTTCAAAAGCCCATGCCAGGCCCAGATGCTCTCTCTATGCTTATGGTTCAGGGTACGACTCCCAGCTCCAGCTCCAGCACCTGACTGCAGGCCACCATGCTTCACCCCCAATGATGATAATGGACTAAACCTCTGAAACTATAAGCAAGTCCAAATTAGATGCTTTCTCTTATAAAAGTTGCCTTGGTTGTGGTGTCTCTTTATAGCAATAGAACAGTGACTAAGACACCATGCAAGCATGAAGACTTGAGTGTGGTTCTCAGCACTCATGTAAAAGCCAAGTGTGGAAGGTGCTTATAATCCCAGTGCTGGGAGTACAGACAAGAAGATCCCTAGGGCGCGCGCACACACACACACACACACACACACACACACACACATGCATGTGGAGGTCAGAGGATAATTTTTAGGTGTTAGCTCTCTCCTCCTGTCATGTGGGTTCTGGGGATTGAACGTAGATCGTCAGGTGTGGTGTCGTGAAAGAAATGATCCTCATAGAGAGTGGAACTATTAGGAGGTGTGGTTTTGTTAAATGGGTGTGGCCTTGTTGGAGGAAGTGTGTCACTGTGGGGGGTGGGCTGTGAAGTCTCCAATGCTCAAGCTACACTCAGTATGGCACACAGTTGCTTTCGCTGCCTGTAGATCAAAATACAGAGCTCTCAGCTTCTTCTCCAGCAATACGTCTACCTGCACTCTGCCACGAAGACAATGGACTAAGCCAGCCCCAATTAAATGCTTTTCTTTAGAAGAGCTGCCATGGTCATGGTGTCTCTTCACAGCAATAGAAACCCCAAGACATCAGGCTTGGCAGCAAATGTCTTTACTCACTGAACCATCTCATCAGCCCCAAGAGGTAATTTTAAATGGGTATATAATTTGACATTCTACCTTTGAATGACCATGGAGTAAATAATCAATCAAATAAATATTTCTACTTGTCAATATAAATATATTAATTAATTAATTAATGCTCACAAGGCAAAAGGGAACAAATTAAAACCCCAAGGGTAGAAAAATTCTCTCTTATGAAATCAGTTTTAAAATGTGTCTAGATTTCAAATTATTTGATAATATCAGAGAATTATACAAGATTACTTAGGACAGGCTGGAGAGATGGCTTAGTGGCTAAGAGCGTTGCTGCTCTTGTAGAGATTCCTGCGCCCTCATAGGATGACTCATGGCTATCTCTAATTCTAGCCCCAGGGGACCAGACACCCTCTTCTGGCATCCAAAGGCACCAACACACACGGGACATACATAGACACATAAATGTACACATAGTAAAACATTACTCAGGACAGGCAATTAAATCTAACCAAATTAACTCAAATCATACAAAAGCAAACAAAACAACCCCCATGACTACCTAACACTAAGCTAATATCCAGTTATCATCCTCAACAAACTGGAATGGGACACAGGCACATCTTATACTGATTATTTGCGTCATTCTTTGAGACTTAAGACAACTTAAGCACACTGCATGCTTTCAAAGTAATTGTTATAAATGTAATTACCATTATCAGTGAGACTAAAAAATGTTGGCTAATTGGTTATTTGCCTTTACAGAAAGCCAAATAGGGTTGTCCTGAATGTTCGAACACACACACACACACACACACACACACACACACACACACACACACACAATTTTACATTATGAATTTAAAGGACAATGCATTTTGTTGTAAGAACAAATGCATCTACACAGTAGCAGTGTTTCTTTAAGAATCTGAGAATATGATTATAGGGAAGGATTAAATTTATTTCACATTCCAGCAAGATGATATCCTTGCTTTCCAGATTAGAAAAACAGATTATATAATACCTAAACTTACTTTCTTTTGATTTTACCTCATTTTCACACCTTATCTGGTGATTCAAAACTCTTTAAACCTTATGCTGATTCTGACCTTACCTCAGGTTTTGCCAAAACCATTTTACTAGAGGCAGCCTAACTAAATTCTGCCTAACCTTGAAGGCCACTCTGCAAAGTGGCCTATGTCTACCAGGTACATGGTGAAGTCATCCTCAAATATACACTTTTCATTTTACAATTATATACTGTTGTAATCTCATCTCCCACCTGATAAGGGACTGCTGGCTCCTGGAGAGAGAGAGAGAGATGGAGTCTTACTTGTTTGTTGTTTTGTTCTGTTTTGGGACAGGGTCTCTTTACATAGACCTGGCTGCCCTGAAACTCATCATGTAGACCAGGCTGGTCTTAAACTCACAGAGATCCACCTGCCTCTGCTTCCCTATTGCTAAAACTAAAGGCGTACACCACCACATCTGTTGTTGAGTCCTTTACTTCTTACACTTATTCATCATAACTGTTAAGCAATCAATGAACCTCTATTATTGGTTTATGTAGTTTAGGGCCAAATACAAACTCCAATAATTTATATACTATTAATTTAGTTTTCTAGGAATATAATTTCCCAAGTAATAATTCTTTGAATGATAAAGGCCAAACATACTTTAAATGTACTTGATTTGTTGATTAATTTTAATTATTAATGTAAGTAATACAACCGTTCAAACACTGGTTTATCAACACTAGACATTATCCTTGTTATTTATCTTTTAAGACTTTAAATTCCCTTCCTGGGGTGGCTGAAAACTCTATTTTCCATATTAAACTCACCGGCCCTTTGTCCTGTAGGCACATCATCAATGTACACACATCTCCTGTGGCCTGGTGGTTCACCAGCATCACTGCTTCGTCATTAGAAATTGCTTTAATATCTTCCCCCCATTCCATCACTGTAAGAACAAAACATTTCAAATCGTCATTTTCAAGATTTTCATGTGACTAAAAATCTCTTATTAGGAAAAAATGGTATACTTTAATGATGTCTTTTGAAAGTTTGGAACTGGGCTGATTTTCTATGTAAGTCACAATGTTGACATCATTTTAGAGTCCCAAAATATCCATTAAAATATAAAATATTTTTTACTCATTACTACATTATCCAGAAGTTAAAATTATAGGTATGCTTATTACAACTTAGATGTTTACCATCAGGCAAATAGATAAGAAAATTGTGATAAGCCTACAGTGGTGGCACATGTCTTTATTCCCAGCACTCAGGAGGCAGAAACAGGTGGATCTCTGTGAGTTTGAGGCCAGCCTGGTCTACAGAGTGAGTGCCAGGAGAGCCAGGACTACACAGAGAAACCCTGCCTTGGAAAACCAGGAAGAAAGAAAAAAGAAGAAAAGGAAAGAAAGAAAGAAAGAAAGAAAGAAAGAAAGAAAGAAAGAAAGAAAGAAAATAGGAAAAAAAAATTATGAGAAGTAAACATTCATGGAAAAAATTCAGAGTACGTCTACTTACTCTAAATTATACTACCAACTGTGATATATGGTATATCCATTTTAGTTATCTTGTAAGCTCTCACTCAGAGCCTGCATCTCTAGGGCAGATGACAGAAACTAAAACATGTCATTTTTGTGGCTGGTCACAGAGACACTAATCTTCCTCACCTTTCTGGTGCCTTCCTTGTCTGGTAGACAATAGGCACTTGAGAAGAAATCTTGGCACATATCTAGAGGAAGGAATGTGCACAGACAAACCTCGACAGGTTTACTACCCATCTTGTCAACATCTGGTATGCAATAAAGTCTCTTCAGAGTTGCAAAAGGACTCAGCATGAGAGATGGACATAGGTAAATTCTTGGAGGGCTCTATGAGCTTTCCTCCAGACCTTGCCCTGTGTATCTTTTCATTTGTATCCTTTGTAGTGTTCTATGCAATAAACTGGTAAATGTGTTTGCCTGAGTTCTGTGACTCACATGAGCAAATTAACTGACCCCCAAGAAGATGGTTGTAGGACCCTGATTTTGAGCAACCAGTCAGAAACACAGGTTAAAAACACAGGTTAAAAAAAGTATGACAGGGACCTATAGGGGCAAGCAATCTTGGGGATTAACTGATTACTTGACCCACGAGATCTGATGCTATCTCCAAGTAAAGGGCATTGAAACTTGAATTAGGGAACCCCAGCTGGCTTCCACTGTAGACCTGCTTTCTTGCTTAGTGTGTGAAAGGAAAAAAACCCCACCTATCAGGCATTAAAGGTGATTAGTGTTAAAAGAATACAGCAGAAAAGACCAAGCTAAAGATGTTTTATGGCTCTGGGAATGGATCTCAGGCTTTCTGTATGTTAGGGAGTGCACTGAGCTATATTCCCCAGCTCCTTGGGTTTGAGAAATAAAATTGTGTGTTACTTAACACATTGAATTCCAGACTTATTAACACAAGTTATCATTAGATGATTCCTAGACTCTTTCATTTTTACTGTACCAGAAACTATATGAATATTTTTAAAGATTTATTTAATTATTATGTATACAATATTCTGCTTCCATGTATATCTGCACACCAGAAGAGGGCACCAGATCTCATAATGGATGGTTGTGAGCCACCGTTGCTGGGAACTGAACGCAGGACCTCTGTAAGAGCAGCCAGTGCTCTTAACCTCTGAGCCATCTTTCCAGCCCTGAATATTTCAAAACTATATGTTTTCATTTTTAAGGAAGAAAACGAGTTAGATTAGTTTAAAACATCTGGGTGGGAAACTACTGCATCAAAACTACTTTGTACATTATCAGGAAGAGCAGGTTCACAGAAAGAGAAGCAATTGAATAAAATTTTCAAAAAAAATGGTGTTGGTTAAACTTGATAGCTACAGCAGGAGTTCGAAACTAGGTCCTTATTGCTCACCCTACACAAAACAAATGTTTAGTGGGATTATTTAGGACCATCATCTAGACCATTCAAAAAAAATTTTTTAAAAAGAAAGTTCTTTTGTATAAAATGGAATTATTTAATAGAAACAAACTGTTCTGTTTCATTTTAGATTTTGCTACAATTTTTAAAGGACTGGCCTATTTAACCTAACTTACCAAATTTGGGAAGTCTTCATGTATTTGGGGGCTTTTGTTGTTGTTTTACTGATAAGTCCTTTGTGTCAATCATGACAGTTTCCTTTTTGTTCCTGACATAGGTGACTTAAATTTGTTCTTCATTAGCTTTATTCCAAGTTAGTTTTGTAAAATGTGTTGACCTCTACCAAAAGTCACTCTTTTTTCTTGATTTTTCTGTTTTTTCATGTCATCAATGTAGTTCATTTCTGCTATTTCACCTCTGTGCATTCTTTGGTATTATATCACTCTATAATTTATATTCATCTAAAAATCTTTCAACTGGATTAAAAAACATTTCTAAAAAATTTTGCCTTCTATGTTTTCCTATACACGTTTTAGTCAAGTTTAACACAGTATAACTTACAACAAGAAATAATTTCTCTCTAATGTACATCTTGTACCTCTCCATAACCACTACACTGAGACAGGGAACAGCCCCACAGCCCCCAAAATAAAAGCATCCACCACCCACCCCACTCCCAGGCTTGCCTTTAATTTTCTATGCCCTCAAAGATGACCTTGAAACATTCATCTTCCTACTCCCACCTCTCGGGCTAGGATTATAGGCATGTGTCACAAGCCCAGTTTACACAGTGTTTTTTGCGTCTAGGCTTCCTGCATGGTAACAATTGTACTAAATTGCCAGAAAATAAATACGTCATGTAGTATTTCTCTGCTTTGCCACCAGATGATAACATGCACTGAGTCTCTGACGTTAAAAAACTTTAAACTAGAAAAAAATTATAGGCATATATGATATGTGGAGTATTAGTTAAAGTCATGTTACATTCTCTTACGCTGTAGAATTATTTGTTTAATGATGCAAAGATGTTGCATTCTTTTATATTGCATTTGGGTTTTTTGTTTGTTTGTTTGTTTGTTTGCAAGACAGGGTTTCTCTGTGTAGCTTTGGAGCCTATCCTGGCATTCATTCTGTAAACAAGGCTGGCCTTGAATTCATAGAGATCACCCGCCTCTGCCTCCCGGGTGCTGGGAGTAAAGGTGTGCACCACCACTGCCCGACCTGTTGCATTTTCGTAACTCTGTGAAGCTGTTACTTTATCTGTTTATATAACAGAAAAAAGAAAGCATCTTCAACAAATGGTGCTAGCATAACTGTATGTTGGCATGTAGAAGACTGCAAATAGATCCATATCTATTGCCATGCACAAAACTCAAGTCCAAATGGATCAAAGATCTTCACCAACCCCACATCTGACAGAGGGCTGATCTCCAAAATACACAAAGAACTCAAGAAACTAGACATCAAACTACCAAATAATGGAATAAAAATGGGTTACAGATCTAAACAGAGAACTCTCAACAGAACAATCTCAAATGGTGGAAAGACACTTAACGAAATGCTCAACATCCTTAGTCATCAGAGAAATGCAAATCAAAACAACTCTGAGGTTCCATCTTACTCTGGTCAGAATGGCCAACATCAAAAACTCTAATGACAGCTTATGCTGGAGAGTATGTAGAGAAAGGGTAACACTCCTCCACTACTGATGGGAGTGTGAGCTTGTATAGCTGCTTTGGAAATCAGTATGGCGGTTTCTCAGAAAATTGGGAATCAATCTACCTCAAGACCCAGTAAAGCCACTTTTGGGCATCTACCCAAGGGAGGCACACTCACACCACATGGCATTTGCTCAGCCATGATCATAGAGGCGTTATTTATAATAGCCAGAAACTCTTAAATATCTAATAGTAATATGGGTCACTTATTGATAGAAAAGTTCTTTGAAATGTTTTTTGTGTGACAGTTTTGTCCTTGTATGAACATAGAGTAAACTTGGGTAAACCCGTATCCCCTAAGTCAGTGGCCACAGCATTAGGAAGATTAAGAGTTTTTATGAAAGTTAAAGAACAGAGATGATAACAAAGGAAGGCTTCTGAGAAGACAGAAAGGGAATGGAGTCCACACAAAGGAACTGGCTGAAAGGAGAGGTGCTCCACACTGCAGCGGCACAGACTGAAGAGGGCTTGGGAGCAGGCCTGAGTTAGGAGCCACTCAAAGCCAACAGCTAAAAGGAACACCAGGGGAGATGAGATGAGGGTTGTGGGAAGAAGGGAGAATACAACTTCTGAATTAGACAAGTTAGGGAAGCCTAAAAAAGAGCAGAAGGCAAAATGTGAGCAGTCACACCAGCTAAACACCCAAGAGATCCAAACAAAGTCATAGTTGCGGTTAATGCAGTTTCTGGTTTGAGGCTTTGGCTACATTCCCAAAATTTCAAATATGGAAAAGGGAAAGAACATAGTTAGAATATGACCAAATAAAGAGCAAAGCATAGGGCTGGAGAGATGGCTCAGAGGTTAAGAGCACCGGAGGCTCTTCCAGAGGTCCTGAGTTCAATTCCCAGCAATCACATGGTGGCTCACAACCATCTGTAATGAGATCTGATGCCCTCTTCTGGCCTGCAGACATACATGGAGACAGAACACTGTACATAATAAATAGAAGGAAGAAGGAGGAGGAGGAGCAGAAGAAGGAGGAGGAAGAGGAGGAGGAGGAGGAGGAGGAGGAGGAGGAGGAGGCATGGTGGTGCAAGGCCTTTAAACCTAGCACTTGGGAGGCTGTGTTCTAATACATATCAGCAAATTTTCCTATTTGGAATGGCTTCCATCCATATTCTCTCAATGTCTAAAAGAGTCCTAAAAGACATTCAAGTCACATATTAATCTTAGTTACACCTAAGGATCAGACACAGTACACAAGCATCATAAATCTGACTAAAACTTAGGTCTATTGACCCCTCAAACCAAAGCAAAGACCACTAACTGTTTAGCTAAAGCTGAAGTATGCTGTTGCTTATTGTATAATGGGATT